TGTTGAGACTTACGGCGACCATGCTCTGTCGGAAACAACATGCAGAGATTTGTTTAGACGCTTCAAAAATAATAATGATTTTGATGTTGAAGATAAAGAACGCTCTGGCGCACCGAAAAAATTTAAAGACGAAGAATTAGAGGCATTACTTCATGACTCATGTCACGCTAGCTGAACTTGCAGAATCATTAGGAGTTGATCACACAACAGTTTCGAAAGTATTAGGAATGATTCAAAAGCAAGGACTTTGGGTGCCGTACAAGTTGAAGCCGAGAGACGTCGAACGGCGTCTTTTCACGTGTGAATAGCTGCTTTAACGGCAGAAAAGGAAAGGTTTTTTGCATCGTATCGTGACTGGCGATGAAAAGTGGATACACTACGATAACCCTAAGCGTAGAAGATCGTGGAGTAAGCCCGGCCATGCACCAACATCGTCGGCAAAGCCGAATATCCATGGTTCGAAGCTTCTGCTCTGCATTTGGTGGGATCAGCTGGATGTAGTTTATTATGAGCTGCTCAAACCAAACGAAACTATCACGGGAGATCGCTATCGACTACAATTGATGCGTTTGAGCCAAGCATTGAAAGAAAAACGGCCGCTACCCTTATAGAAATATCATACTAAGAATCATTGATAATTACTTATTATCCAGTATTTTTAATACTAAAAATAAGTAATTATCAATGATTCTTAGTATGATATTTCTATAAGGGTATACGAGCAGAGACACAACAAAGTGATTTTGCAACATAACAACGCTCGGCCACATGTTGCACAACCGGTGAAAACCTTTTTGGAAACGCTTAAATGGGAAGTCCTACCCACCCGCCGTATTCACCAGACATTGCCCCTTCCGATTATCAGTCCGATATATTGTTCCAATCGATGGCACATAGCCTGGTTGAGCAGCACTTCCATTCTTATGAAGATGCCAAAAAATAGGTCGACTCTTGGATAGCCTCAAAAGACGTGTCATTTTTTCGACGTGGAATTCAAATGCTGCCAGAAAGATGGGAAAAAGTAGTGGCTAACGATGGACAATACTTTCAGTGACATATTTTTTACGACTTTTTTTGAATAAAGCAATAATTTTCACGAAAAATCAGCTAGAACTTATTCAAGGGGTTTTTATATATATATATATATATATATATATATATATATATATATATATATATAGGGTGTCTCGCATAAGACGTGTCAAAAGAAAAATATAAGCAGAACAGATAAAAGAGAAAAATTGTAGAGGTCATTTTTCGAACAACCACGTAAAATTTTGAGTTATTAAATAAAATGAATTGGCTAATCAGAGCGCGTGACGCGGTAAGCGGGACATACAGCTCGCCGCGCCCGGCGAAGAAAATGGACGATTGCTCGCGGGCTTATCACGCAGTGTCAGATCTAAGATGTAGTCATCACCCCTGGGCCTGTGAGATAGGCCCGCGAACAATCGTCCATTTTCTTCGCCGACCGCGGCGAGCTTTATGTTGCACCACCGCGCTCTGATTAGCCCAACTATTTTAATTAATATCTCAAAATTTTACATAGTTGTTAAAAAAATAACGTCTACAATATTTATTTATCTGTTCTATTTATATTTTTCTTTTGGCACGTCTTATGCGGGGCACCCTGTAAATATATAGGGTGTTTGAGATCTTTCTTGACGCAATTCGTATAAAAATAAAACGGATTAAACGGAAAAGTCGAATACCATTTTGCAAAATTCGCAATAGTTTTCGAGTAATTAATTATTTTGTCTGAACAAATAAGCGCTCGGGCCAGCGTGCGACTGTGATACACGCAAATCGCGGCTCGCTGTGTCCCTCCGCCTATAGCTCCGAGACACAGCAAGGCTTAATACATTAACACATGTGCATGACATATCCGTGTGCCGAATGGACGCCGAATCGAAGCGTGTCGTCGTTTCGGCTGCATACGTGAATATAGAGGTGTCACTTTAAGTTAGCTATCCCAATAACTTTTTTATTTTTGATTATAGAAAGAAATGTTTCAGACAAAAGTTGTATGGTTTAGAAGAGGACACATTATTCCGATGTGAGTCATATGGTATATACAGATGTCATCGTTTTTTAAGAAATTTTAAAGACTAATTTTTTAAAAAGAATTTGATTTTTCCTTGAGAGAAAAATTGTAGATCTCATCGAGACGTTTTTAAAACACCCTCAAAAATTGTAAAAACCGTTCCAGAGATATGAAGCTTCAAAATTTATAAAGCCACTGGTTATACATGTATGTTTTGTACAAAAGGCTTTAATGATCTTAAAGAATAGCAATCTTTGACTTTGACTTTTGATCTTTGACCTTTTGACTTTTGACCTTTGACCTTTTGAATTTTGACCTTTGACCTTTTGACTTTGAGATACTGACAGCTGTACCATTTGGTACAGTAACATTGTTTCTCTCTGTAGTCGCCGTGCGCTCGGGATTGCGCCAGAGATGTCGCTTCAGAATGGTATCTCTGAGCGTTATCTAGGGAGAAGAGAGTGTCGTAGGAGTGGAGCGTCAGGTAACTCAGTGGTTTAGAGCAGTCGCGCGGCAAGCGAAAGACCTGGATTCGAGTCCCGGCCTTGCAAAACCGCGCTCTCGATATTTTTCTCTCTCTGGAACGAAAAGATACGCAGATCTCGAACGCGCGGCGTCCCGCCGCCACCTAGTATGCCCTCCTCATTCTATGGTCTAAATTTATTTATCACCTCAATCCGTTCTATATTCCCACAAAAATTGCGGAAGAAAATTTGGAACATCCTATATTTCAAGGTCACTGTCAGTAATAAATCTCATTTTAAGCAAGAATTATCGAATGAATATTTATTATCGAATGAATATTTATTTGTTAATAACTTTGTAATAAACAATAATTGCCAGCTAAGACTTCTTAAATTTACTTAAAGTCATTACTTTCACAATATATATTAAAGTCGAGATCATCGAAAGCGCTTTTTATAAATTAAATATTTACCAAAAAATATGTTTAAACAAAACATATAAGCATGCTAATGATTATTGTGTGGCGCGTAATACGAGACAAAAAGTGCAAAGTTACTACTATCTTTAAGTCAGCCGAAAGGTTCATTTCGATTTCGATAAATATAATATTACATACAAATATACAAGCAGCAGTACTGATAACGTCTCACCGCTAGAACAAACTGAGACCTTTGACAAAGAATCATGGACAAAAAACAATAGTTGCTTTAATTTTTTAATTGACGTTTAAAAGATTTGATAAAAAAAAAATTCCCCTTTAGGGGAAGCAACTCCAATGACCTTGACTTTGACATATATTATAGAGATCACCCTCCTGAGTGACCTTTTGAAGATTTTAGCCATCGCTCGTTGTTCGTTAAAAAGTTATAAACAAAAAAGTTGCATAAAATAAGTTTAATTTTTGGACACCGTATATACAAAAACGAATTTATAGGCTAAGAAGGTGCCTGCCCCTAGCACACACACATACCGCCCGGGCGGGCTTGCAGTATGTGCGTGCGTTTCTATTATATTATATTTGGATGATTTAACAATCATCCATGTAATTTTGCGACACTGCGTAAATTAATATATGGGAGAAATTACATTCTATTTATAAAACTTCAAATATAATAAGCATATACGCACACACCGCAAGCCCTTTCAAATGGGCAAGCAAACGCGCGGGCGGACGAGCAATGTGTGTCTATGTGTGTGTGCGCGCACGAGTGCGTATGCAACTGAACGTAATACACGGTTTCCAAATTTTCAACATACATTTGTATGAATTTCTCAATGTAACACGACAACGATTTTAATGCGTTGTGGAAATTTTAAAAAGTTAAATAAATAAATAAATAAAGTTAAATAGATAAATAATTAACCTGTGTGTCAGTCAGTTGGATGCTGCCGTGTATTACGTCCAGTTACATACGCACGCACATACACACACACACACACACCTTCCTAATCTACAAATTTGATGTTTTTGTATACACGGTGTCCAAAAATTACATTCATTTTATGCAACTTCTTTTGTTAATAACTTTTTAACTTCTTTTGTTAATAACTTTTTAACAAACAACGAGCAACGGTTAAAACTTTTTGATGGTTACTCAGGAGGATGACCTTTATAACATATGTCAAGGTCAAGACTATTGGAGCTGCCTCCCCTAAAAGGGGGTTTTACCAAAGATTTTATTATTTAATGACGGACAATCTGTTTCTGTTGAATGTGATAAAGTCAAAATTTATTGGGAAAACTTGCTAAATTATCACTATTCACTAAATTATCTTAACAGATCTAACATTAAGTTCACAAAAATTGTTTTATAATTGAAAAACAGGAAAATTAAGAAAACAGGACAAGAAATACATGAAAAATATGATAGTTCGATCACGTATACCGTCATATATGTCTATCGATTGTTACAGTTTTAGAAACACGAAGCATTAAGAGAAAATATCGTTTATAGATATATAGTAACTCCATATAACATAAATGTTGAAATATATCTTATAGATGTCCCAGAAATGTCTGAATATCTATCGGATGTTCTTAGGGTATATCTTGAACATTTATGCTGTACCTAGACAGTACGATATTCTATAAACATCTTATAGACGTCCTTAAGACGTTCTCTGGAAGTCTTTAAGATGTCCTTGGGAAATTTGTGCTATTGGGATATGGGATCTTTCTAAGAGAAACACAAACAAAAAAAAGAAAAGCTCAGAGAATAGTAAATGGATGACTGACATACAACTACCATAGCTGCGCTTCACAGAAGTTCGCACACAATCGCACTTTACGGTTATCAAAATCGATTTTCCGATCTCAAACAAGACACATTGCGCGACTAACTTTCATCCTTTGCTTCTCAGGTAATACTATGGTTGAAGGAGACGGGTATTACGAACTTTCACCTGGACGATGTCATTCGTCGTAAAGCGAACTTAAATCTGCGTGAAGTTCTCAAGGAGTACGACGATCACGACGGAAAAGCACGGGTTCTTGGACTGATGCCGTTAGGTGCTGGATTCATTACACTTGCTATAGGTCTTTTAATATCTACGATAGTGTTCTTTCATGAGCTGAGACAAGCCGCGGGTACGCGACCCATCCGCGAGGTTTTTCGGGAGCTGCGGGAAAAGCGCGCAATATATAAAACAGTTAGCATGAGAGGAAAAGTCCCAAAAAGGAATCGAGCTCGCGAAGTGCAATTAGAACGGCGAGAGATGCTTAATTTTCATTCAATAAGAGAATCCGCCCAGCATAGGGCAAATGTCATTATCATGAATAAATAAAAAATTCAGAAATAAGAAAATAAAAAATTTAAGGGAAAAATATCTTTCGAAATAAAAAAAGTTATTTTTTGTGATTTTTTTACAAGAAATATGAGAAATATTTATCTGAAGTACCAATACTTATTGGTACCAAGTCGAAATAGTGATCCTTTCATGTAAAAATATAGATTATAAGTATTTAAAATATAGAACATTTCCGAGGAAAAAGATCCGAACATATACGATATGTTGGTGTGCATGCATAATTTCAAAGATTCCAGTAAAGTGTGTGTGTATGTATGTGTGCATTTGTATGTGTATGAATCAGAAAAACAAAAAATTTATTGATCTCTCTATAAATATGTATGTGATTACTGTTGCGATTAGAATAATAAAAATTAAAATACTCTATATTAATATTTTTTTAACCGTATAAAAATTTGTGTGGAAGAATTACTGAAAAAATTAATAATTTTATATAAAAAATAAGAAAAAATTAAAATATATTAATTTCTCTAGTTTTAGTTGTGAAGAGCGATATGTTGTGAACACGTACCCATAAGCACAAGCCAATTGGTTTATTAGTTTGTCTAAAATTGTAAGAATTTAAATTTTTATCGATTAAAATGATTTGTTCCATTGACATTTTTAGATTTTAAATTACGTAGCACAAATTTATTGTGCTTTTCACTAAGTACGTTGTTATAGAGTACTATAAGATCTATAAATAAAGAACTTGAAAAATATTACTATATATTAAAAATTCTCGAGAAGATTATTTCTCAGATCTTAGGGTTTCGTTTTATTTTACAATCTTTGCACACTGGTACATTAATAAATTTAAAGAATGCACGGAATTTTGTTATTGTGCGTATTTTTGTACGAAGTTTTTGTACGTATTTATATAACAAATGATTTTACCTAACATTCTACGTACAAAAGTTATCGAAAAATATATATATTAGGAAATATTTCATAATTTGTACTGAATTATTAATTATTATTTTAACTAGTAATTATCAATGATTCTTAGTATGATATTTCTATAAGGGACTAGCCTATAAAAATTATAATTGCGTTTGCATTTCTGCAAACGCAATAAATCATTAAGGTATATCACTTATTAAATATTATATATCATTAGTTATCAGTAAATAGTAAAAGCAACATAAAATGCCAGTACTTATTAAATAATACTTAGTAAATAGTACATAAACATATCGTTAATTATTATTAAATAATAGTACATAACACACATTATTATTAAATAATAGTACATAACACAACTTATAATAAATATATAAATAAATAAATAATTCTTATTATAATAAGTAACGGTATATTCTTTTGTATTATGTACTATGTACTATTGTATTATGTACTATTTAATAATAAATAACGGTATGTTCATTTATGTTTATGTACTATTTACTAATGAGTACTAACATTCTGTATCGCTTTTATTATTTACTGAACTAATGATATATAATATTTAATAAATGATATGCTTTAACCTTTAGACGGCATTTTTTCATTAAAAAAGTAGTTTTTTTTTCTCAAAAATTTTTCTATATAAGTAACATATATATTGCGCAAAATTTTAAAATTTATGCAGAGCCACAAAAGTGTCTTTCCTTCAGGAAACACACAATCAAATATAAAAGATTTTTATTTTCTCAAAAATAATGTATTTGGAGGTTTTTGGTATCGCTGATTTCAATTCTGAGTATAAATTTATGAAATTTTGAGTCCTAAGTGCAACATTGACAATATAAATATAAATAAATATAAACATATAGATTTATGCAGTCTTTTTTGTTTGGTTTTTTAATGTTTACTTTTTGTTTTTTTTTACTTTTTGCTTGTTTTATAATTTTTGACTTTTTATATTTTTTATATTTTTATTTTATTCTTATATTCTTTTTTATTTTTTTATTTTATTTTTTTATATTTTTCAATATTTATATTTTTTTATATATTTTATAATTTTTTTTAAGTTTACTTTTTTTCGTAATTATGATAAAACTTTTTTCAAATGATAATTTTTAAAGCAGAGTGTTATGCATAATGGAGCATTACAATTAGTATATATGTTTCAGCGACGTAAGTGCGAACAAGCGCGAAACGCGAACAAGCACAAAGTGGGCACCTGAGAAACACGCATTGCGTAGGCTACATACACACAGATATGTTTAATATATTTAGTATTTAAAATAACACTAAAAATAGTATTTTAATCCAAACTCAAGAGCCACAAAAGTGGCGTTCTCGACAGTTTAAAGGTTAATAGGTGATTTATATTTTTATGGCGTTATCATTCCTGCTTGAGGCAAGACTACAATTTCCGGAGCGCTAAGATTTGAGTGTAGATTCTGCATCTATAAACGATTATAAAGAAAAGTGAAAAAGTGATGATAGTGGCTATCTGCTTTATTTTAAGAGATATAGAGGTTTTTTAGTTGCAAATTTAGAAATCAACGACATATTATTTTTGCCATTTGCAGACTATTTTTGCGTTATTCAGAATGCACCACATAGAGGTATAATCTTCGCCTTACTAAATTATTGGGATTACAAATAAGTCTCAGCCGTTTGACAAAAGATGGCCCCACCAGTAAATTATGGTTGAAATTGTCAGATGTAAAACGTCATATCATAAGGTTGGACATCTGGTAACACCATAACCTTGAAATATTAGCGATTTTGTATCAGCATCACATAATTTTTTTCGTGCGAAAAAAAAATGTTGAGTTTTGAGCCGAATAAGCGTCATTTGCGGGAATTTTTGATTTACTTCTTTAATTTGAAGAAATCTGTAACTGAGGCGCATCGATTGCTTGTAGAGGCATATGGTGAGACTGCTTTAAGTGAGAGAAGTTGTCGTGAGTGGTTTCAAAAGTTTAAGAACGGTGAGTTTAACGTCGAAGACAAAGAAAGTAGCGAAAGGCTGAAAGTGTACGAAGACGCGGAATTGGAAGCATTATTGGAGGAAGATTCATGCCAAACGCAAGAAGAACTTGCATTAGGAGTGACTCAACAAGCAATTTCACATCGTTTAAAATTGTTGGGAATGATTCAAAAGCAAGGAAATTAGGTTCCATATGAACTGAAGCCGAGAAATTTTGAACGCCGATTTTGCACATGTGAAATGCTGCTTGCCAGGCATAAACGAAAGGGTTTTTTGCATCGTATAGTCACTGGTGATGAAAAATGGATCCACTACGATAACCCAAAGAAGAAGAAATCATGGGGACCACGTGGCCATGCTTCAACATCGATAGCCAAGCCCAATATTCATGGAAAAAAACTCATGTTGTGTTTTTGGTGGGATCAGCTTGGTGTCGTGTATTATGAGTTGCTCAAACCGAACGAAACCATTACTGGGGCTCTCTACCGAACACAATTGATGAGATTGAGCCGAGCACTCAAGGAAAAACGCGCCCACTACTACTCCAGACACGACAAAATTATTCTCTTGCATGATAATGCTCGTCCACATGTTGCTGCGCCGGTCAAAACCTACTTGGAAACACTCAATTGAGAAGTTTTACCCCACTTACCGTATTCACCAGACATTGCTCCCTCTGACTATCACTTGTTTCGATCGATGACGCACGGCCTGTCTGAGCAGCACTTCACATCATACGAAGATACCAAAAATTGGGTCGATTCGTGGATAGCCTCAAAAGATGAAGCGTTCTTTCGACGCGGTATCCGTATGCTGCCAGAAAGATGGGAAAAAGTAGTGGCTAGCGATGGACAATACTTTGAATAAAACATAAGGTACCGTTTTTTCATAATAAATGCCCAATTTTGGATAAAAACGGCGGAGACTTATTTGTACTCCCAATAATAGCTACAAGTTAATATTTTTACGTAGCGTTAACAAAATTTAGCAAAACAATTTGCAGGTGCTGCAATACCATAAAAACTCTCAAAATCGTCGTTTTTGGCCTATTTAACGCCATTTTTCTTAAAATTGTGACGTGATAGCCAAATTTGGACAACGGATTCATGTTCAGCGGGTAAAAATCTGTAAAAATCACCTACTCTCATTACATCCGCAGAAAAAAGTTCGATTTTTGCAGGCTAGTGTTATTCTTAATTAACAAATTAATTTTTCTAATAAACTCGCTCAATTAACAAATCAATTATTCTTTAAAAAATTAGCTTAACAAAAAATGATTAGGAATTCGTGTTTCCGGAACAATATGTTATATAGTAAGTATATGTTGATATTAATAAACTTATTTTAAAAAACTCGCTTAATTAACAAATTAATTATTCTTTACAGTGGTCAGCTTAACGAAAAATGATTACAAATTCGTGTTTACGGAACAGATAAATATATGTTTATGCAGATAAACATATTATAGTAAACTCGTTTAATTAATAAATCGATTATACTTTATAGGAATTAGCTCAACGAAGAATGATTACAAATTTATGTTTCCGGAACAAATAAATATAAGTTGATGGTAATAAACATATTCTAATAAACTCGCTTAATTAACAAATTGATTATTCTTGACGGGAATCAGCTTTTTCATAATATTGTTTTAAATTTTTGCAAAGTTTGTTGTATTTTTTCTTAACGCTATTTATTACAGTTTTTTTTCAGGTAATTATATTTTTTGTAGTAACTTATTTTACGAACACACACATTATTAAAGTAAATTTTTTTAGTTTAATTTTTTTATTTTAATAAAAAATTTCATTTCTTTAGTACATTCATACTTTACTATGCTGTCACTTCCTTTTTTCAATTCTGACTTTTAAAGGATTCATTGGCTCTAACATAATATCCATCTTCAATTCTATTTCTTCTATTTTAATCTTCTTGTCCACTTTTAACATATATGTTCGCAACAGAGTTGCTACGAGAATTTTCATAGAAATCATTGCATATCTTACACCTGCAATTTTATAGATTATTTATATTTCATATATTTATATTTTATAGGTTATTTCATATTTCGCCCTGTAATACAGCTCAGCTTATATATATTTATCTATACAGTTCCTTGGACCGTTACTAAACGATATATAACTATATGGATGAATATTTGTCATGTTTTCCGGAAGAAATTTGTCTGGATCGAATGTCAATGCCTTCGGCCAGTAAGTTTCGATGCAAGGATAATATTGGTATCACAAAATTAGCGCTTTTCGATATAATATATTCTTCTGAAACATATTAATCTGTGAATAAATATCATTATAATAAAATATCATTATAATAAAATATTAAATGGAGGTAATTTAAATAGAATCATATTTTATTGTCCAAAGCATTTAAATGTCCATAATAGACGGAACACTATTACTCATTGTACAATTCTTATATAGGGTGTC